CTTAAACTATATTTTTTATAATATAAGTAAGTTATAAAAATTAATATTTAAAATTTTATTAAAATTTTAAATAAGCAGGCAAATTTGCCTGTGTTACAATTTAAGGAATAGATCTATAGTATAATGGTAATGCTCTATAGGTCACCAGGAGAAGGTTTGGAATTCAAATCTATTTAGTTACAAAAATTTATCACCTTTATGATTGATTGACCAGCTTTCAATTCATATCATATCCAATTAGTCGATAATTAATTTTCAAATTTAGTTAAGCTGCATAAAGATAGGACCTTTGGTCTTTCTGACAATTGTGGACTAAAAACATATTAAAGCAAGGAGGGTTGCACAAGGAAAGACTTCTGGTCTAACTTCAGTATAAGCTCACAAAAAACTCTAACTCAAATTGGCAACAGCAAACTCTGTTACATATAGAATACTCTAGCCTAAGGCTATTCCAATCTGGCACTTGCTTAAAAGAAAGTTATATCTCAAATATGTATTTGATATAATTGAAAGCCACAGGTAGTAACAAAGAGTGACTTATCTTCTCCAAGGTTTTGGACAAAAAAATATATACAGAATATTCAGGTGTTTTATAAAAATATTCTAAAAGATAATAATTGTACCTCTCCCATAATGGATGCAGTTGAGACAGGATCTAGATTAGATTAAATAGTTTAAAACTAGTGATAGGATTTCTATCCCTAAAGATTTCACCCAAGGTGCAGATCTATCTCTGTAGTGTCAATTGGTATACTGGGTAAGTTTATAGGTATAGAGTGAGGTTAACTTAAATAGACTTTAGTGTATATGTAATTGGATATAAATAACTCAATAAAATGTATATGTACAAAGCATCTTTCACCTGAAAAATATATATATATATAGTGTGGAACAAAAAAAATTGAACAAAAAATCAATTTAATAAAATGCATCTAACTTTTTTAATTTTAATCATATCACGCTATAACATCTTGGGAAGAAATGTTAACTATATAGCTAAGTAAGTATATTTTTTTTCATATTAATAATTAAACACTTTTTAACTTATTCTTATACAAAATGACTCTATTGAAGCAGGAAATACAATGACAAGTGGTATTACATTTTTGGAACGAAGGAATACAGGAGGCAGCTGAGATTCAACAACTAACATGTATTTCACATTCCACGATTTATAACATTCTCAAAAAAATTAAAAAAACAGGGACAGTGAAGCATGTGGGGTAATGTTAGAGCTTGAAAGATCATTGGGTGTATATCACATGCATTAGGACAATATGTTTGCTGTAATCCCATGATTTTGACAAAAACATTGACAACAAAGCTGCTAAAAAAGGGAATCCAGGTATCCTACAAAACAGTTGAACATCACTTGGCTTTTCTTGACTATAAAAAAAATATCCCTTTAGCGACACCAATGCTCACGGAAGAGCATAAAAAAAAACATATAGATTGGGCTTATTGGCACCTAAATAACAACTGGGATCCTATTGTCTTTACTGACGAAACAGCATTCTACTTGTTTCGGAACACTTTAGAATGTTGGTATAAGGGTCCACACCCAACTCGTGCTATTCCAAAAAATCGAAAGAAAATTTTTACTTGGGGGTTTTTGCAAGAGAGGGAAAACAAATTTATTTTGTTTTAATAAAATAATAAATGGCAAATATTACGTAGAGATTCCTAATATGTATCTTTATGAAATTTATAAAATATTAAGAAATAGATGGCGGTTGCAATAGGATAATGATCTGAAACACTTATATAAAATCACTCAAGCGTTTATCACTAGCAATATTCACGACGTTATTGATTGGCCCACCAATTCACCTGATCTGAATCCTATAAAAAACCTATGAACAATCATCAAAAATAATGTGAAGAAGTGAATGCCACGAGATTGTGACCAGTTAATGCTATTTATGGAAGAGAAATGGCATGAAATTTCTCGATTTACCTTAATTGGGTTGGTGGGATTAATGAAAAGGCGTTATAAGATAATTGAACAAACCAGGGAAAGAATATCTTACTAATTTTTTAATATAATTAAATTAAGTGTATTGACTTTCTAACAACACATTTTTTAACAATTTTAATAAGTTCGGTAATACATAATAAATAAATAAATTTTTTAAAAATGTTTTTTTGATAATAAAATAAAATAATTTTATGTTACTTATAAAAAATTTTTTTTAATTAAAATAAATATTAAATATTTAAAATAAATTTTTATTAAATAAATTTTTTTAATTGTTATATAAAAATAAATTTTAAAAAATTTTTAAAAAAAAACCTTTTATAATAAAAAAAAAAATTATTTTAATAAGTTATAATAAAATAAACTTATAATAAATTTTATTGATAAGGTATTAAAGAATATATATTTAAAATTTTATTTAATTTAAATAATTATTTATTAAATTATAAGTAAAAAATCTTGTCCAATTATTTTCGTTCCACACTGTATATATATATATATTTCATATCAAATTTTTCCCAACAAATTCCTATTTATTATAAATTATTATAATTGCATAAAAATCAAATTTATGAAATTTGACAATCATATTATATGATTCCAAAATATAACCTTTAATTTAATATATTTTAATATATAAAATACACTAGCATTTTTAATCCCGGAACATAGCCCGGGCTAACACGCTAGTCTTTACATGAAATGGTTTCTAGAATACGATTCATAAAATTTTATAGTTATCTTCGAAATAAATAAACTCATGGAATTCATCACAGAACGTAATTTTACTTTTGATTGAAATAAGGTATCTTCACCCACAATTAATAGCGAAGACAGTGCATGTTATTAATTGGGGTTTATTTCCTCATATAGATGAATGAACTTCGGAGAATATTCCTTTTATGGCCTTAACCGTTTCTTTGGTTTTTTTTTTCCTTTTGCATCACGCCTGCAAAAAGCTCACCAGAAATCGGCATAATATTTGATCACCAATATTACTTTTCGAACTAAAGGTTTCAACCTTTTTGTTATAACCCTAAGGTACCAGAAATTGTTTACCAGATATGGAATACGAATTTTGTAGGATCTAATAAATTCAAGCAACTCACTTATTAAACCCTGTTCGACTTTTGATTATATGGATTTTTTATTTGGAGGGGGTGGCGCTTGATCCAAGAGAAACAAACCTTGTATTTGTAGATAATTTGGGTTCGGAAAGGAAGCTTTATCTCTGAAATATTCGATCGATTCAATTCAAACGTAAAGCAATCTTTATTTTGTGAGATGGAAATTTGGAGTCAGAGATGTTGTTCGATTGGTTATCTTTCTGTTCAGAAATGTCTTGACTCCAAAAAGATATCTCTTGAGCTTAAGTCTTCTTTCCCGATTTTTTCTCTCATCATATTACTAACCCTTTCTTTACCTGCCCTTTCTGCAAAATCAAGGATCTCAGCTGAATCGACATCAACATCATCTGGCAATTTAGTCGAGTTGGAAACTTGAGACTTCGCCCCTTTAGATTGGACTAAGTTATGCTCAGATAAGAGATCGAGAATATTATCAATCAGAGATAGGCTAACTCCAAAATTTGAATTGTAATCGGATATATCTGATACCGAAATAGTTCGGGGGTATCATTGCCGGAGGTAGACAGTGGCTGGAATTTTCCATTTCGGTAGAAACACTTTTTACTTGGAAATTGGGAATTGCTCCGGAGAATCGGTGGTTATACCATTTGATTTTATTCCCTCAGAATCACGTCTCAATTTTGTTACTTTATTTTAAGCTCTGCATTCTCGGAAGTAGTATCTGCTCTACTTTCCTCTAACTCCTCAATTCTACTCTTAAACTCTACGTCACGCCTAGGATTGTCCCTTTGATCTTGCATGTCCGATATTAATTTATATAACTTTACTACAAATTATTGAAAAAAGATTTTTACTATACACGTCTTGGAAAAAGGTTTTTTATTTAATCCTATAATTTTATAAAAAAATAATTTGATTTGTTCACGCCGATTACTTTCGTTAAGAAGTTTCGCAGACCTCGGATCGTTTAAATTTACCAAGTATGATATACAATGTAATTGATTTTTTACTTAAAATAGCAGTAGTTCATTCACACGAAAAAAACTAATTCATATTAATATGTACCAATTCTTTATTAATAAAATATATAAATATAAAATATAAAAAATGAATTAATCTGGACAATGTACAGGACATCCTATACATAAATTGTTATTATTATTATCGTTGTTATCACCACTATCATTGTTATCTTCGAAAAAAGAAAAATCATCATGTGGTAGTTGTGGTGTTGATCGTGATGATCGTAGTTGTGATAACGGTTTATTTTTTTTTCGATATTTTTTAGTTACACGACCACAATTATAACTAGGGGGATTGGGTCTTCTTATGCGAAGATTATATGGCGGTGGTGGTGTTGTTGTTATTATTATTACTGGTAAAGAAGAGGATGAGGATGAGGACGATGATGGTGATGATGATGATGGTGATGATGATGATGACGAAGAAGATGATGGTGATGATGATGATGGTGATGATGATGATGACGAAGAAGATGATGGTGATGACGAAGAAGAAGATATTGTATTATTGTTATTATTGCTATTGATGTTATTATTGCTGTTATAATCATGACCAACTCGTTTTCTTTTTTTTCGCTGAATGGAATCACCACCGACGTTAAAAAAGGTATTATTGTCGTTGTTAATGTCATTATCTTTGTCAATATCATTGTTGCGATTGCCGTCGTCGTTATCACCAATACCTTCGTATAGATCATCATATCGTCTTGTAAAAAATCATCTCCTTCATCAGCTGAATCTTTATCTGTTTCCTGGTTATTTGAATGTTGTTCTCTCACTTTTTCTTGAATCTCGAATAGTCGGTGCCGAAGACGCGATAGTTCACCCTGAATGCGAGCTTCTTCTGCTTCACGGACCAAGATATCTTGTTTCTAATTTCAGAAGAACAATTAAGAATAATATTAAATGTTGATATATGAGTGTAAAATAAATGATTTACTTACTATCTTACATTCCGAGATTACATTATTCCAATAGTCCTTGAAATTATAACGTCGCCGTTCCGAATCGATCTATTGTAAGGAAAGCAGTCATTAATGTTAACAGTGTGTAATTTTTTATTTAGTGGTGAGGGCATGCCAGAAACCAAACGGTTAGAGCAGTGTTGTTAAACGGCTTGTTCATTAGTAAAAGCCGCATCCTTTTATATTAGTTATTATGTGATGCGATAAATGACATAATAAAAAGGATATGACAATTACTAATGGACAAGTCGTTTTACAACACTAGTTTAGGGCAAACCTAAATATAGGGAATAAGCTGATAAACGGCATGCCCAAAAGGAAGACACATAACCGACTCCACCTTCGGAATCCGCAGACCTTTACCAACAACAAAGTTAGGGCGTCTGAATAGAGAACCTGGGACTGGTTACCCAAGTTGTCATACCCAGTAGTTCTCCTAGGCGATGCACGTATTGTGAATTCGACTAGAAGTTACCCTAACTTTGTAAAATAAAAAAAATACACACCTTTTCATTTAAATCTCCAAACTTTCTCGCTTCTGTTATAAACTTGATAGCCCAGGAGTTATCAAGATTATGCCAACGAGAATCGGTCAGGGTGGTTGCAACAATCGCATCTCGACAACGGAGTAGAAAACTCCAGAAAGATTTTTTTTTGTTTCGCGTCAAATAAGAAGAAAGTTCTTCGCATCCAGGATAATTTTGTTCGGAAGTCATGGTATAAAAAACTTGGTGTAAATAGCTTGTTGAAAAGTACAAGAATCGTCAAAAAACGCGAACCCTTAAACACGTAGTTTCCCCTTAAATAACGCGTATACTGCCATGTGTTAATTTACCGAATTTGGTTATCTTGCATGTTAATCAATATACCGCATGACTATGTAAATTTCTATTGGGCAAAGCCCGCGTAGGTTTATTTTGAAATTAATCCATATGTTGTATTCTCATCGTATATATCAGTTATCTACTCTGCAATAAAAATGAATTCTGCATTTAAAGTTTAGGTTTAATTAAGATGCTCTAGAATAACTATATATATTTCCCTGTAATATCAGACATACCTTAAAGTAACGCGATTCGGTCACGTGATCGAAGATCATTTCCGAGAATTGCAAGAGTATTAAATAATTAATGTTAACATATACTGTATATACTGTATATTTTTAAATAGAAACTTCAAGAAGGATTACGAAGGTAAGGGAAATTCTACTTCTTTCTAGTGCTGATTACCGTATACCACTGACTATAGTACCCAGGGTACTATTCTAAAAACTATTAAATTTATTAAATAGTATTCATCCGGGTATTAATTATAAAAAAGAATATATTAAAATGGAGATATTATATAATGGATATATTATGTAATGTGGATATTATAATAGGAGGATACCTTAAATAATTTTAATATTGTAATACATGTTAAATTTACTTTTAAGGAAATAAAAAAATTAATATAAAAAAAAGAATAAATTTATTATTATTTTTTATAACAACTATAATATATGACAATAAAAATACACTGGTTATGCTTGAATAACAGAAAAAAAAAATGACAATGGAATACATGAAAAAAACTTGCAATTATTACATATCTTGAAAAACATCCAACTAAGAGTATTTGTGCAACAGCTATTGCTTTTAATATCGAATCAAAACAAGTAAAAGATTGGCATAACAAAAAAGAAGAACTAATGTATGTTTTACCCCATATTAAAAAAATAAATAAATAAAGAGCACCAAATATTCAGAACTAGAAAAAAATCTTTATAGTTAGATAAAAGAATTGTACTTTAAACAAAAACCAGTAACTTGATCTATAGTTCAAATTAAAACAAAATTATTATCTTGTAAATTATTTTATATTACCCTTTATTCTAATATTGGTGAAAGTAGATTTTCCGATAAATGGACTCATTATAAATTAAGTAATTGATGTAAAACAACAATAGCTCAAAAACTTCCTAAGGATTTATTATCAATACAACAAGAATTTTTAAGTTTTGTTCTATATTATAGAATTTAATTTAATTATCCTTTAATTTTGATTGATAATGTAGACGAAATACCTTTATCATTTGATTTTTTTAATAATACAACAATTGACGATCAAGGTGCAAACACAGTTTCAATTAGAACTTCTAATTATAAAAAATCCAATTATATTATTATACTTACATGTTTAGCAGATAAAACTAATTTGCTTCCTATTATTATTTTTAAGTTAATAAATATTCTATAATAAACTTTTCCAATAGGAATTTTTATTTGTACAAACCCTAGTGAATGGATGAATGAAATTAAAATATTATGATAAATCGAGAATATGTGGAATTTATGATTAAAAACATCAGTAGATCCACATTCACTTTTAATTTTAGACTTATTTTTTGCATATATTATAGATTCAGTCAAATGTCATTTTACTAAAAAAAATATAAATGTAACTATAATTCCAGGAGAGTTAACTTCAAGATTACAACCATTAGATATTGCAATCAATAAATCGTTTAAAATGAAGGTAAGTATATTATAAATATATATTTTTTGTTTTTTTTATAAATAAAAAGAATTTAATAATTTAAAACCTGTGGATCTATAGTGTAGTGGTTAATACTCCACAGGTCAAATCACAAAATACTGGTTTAATCCCAGGTGAAGATGATTGAATAGTATCTATATGGTATCTGGCGCCATAACCTGTTAAGTGTTATTTCTTATGTAAAGCTGTTTTACATACTAATTCAGCAAGCGTTGAGATTGTGACCTTCCAGATAAGATGTAGTGGCACAGTGATTGTCAGAATGGTAATACGATAATCGCAGATATAGCCAAAAACCCATCCATATATTTGGATGTACAGACTGGGCTATACATGTTGCTGAAATTTGTAGATCCTTGATGCAATTGACACAATTATTTGACGCAATTAATTGAGTCACTATT